CCTAACTGTCCTACTGTGGCCGGGCTTACTGCTGAGCACATGACCTGTATAGCGAAGTCTGAACACTTAGCACAGGGGTCCTTGTGTCCCAGGCATCAGATCTGGGATGGCCAGAGACAGCTCATGAGGCCATTTACATTTGCAAAATAAAAGGCAGTGACACAGAGGTACCAGGAGAACAGATGGCAATATTTTTTTTTTTTTAGATTGCAATATTTTATACAAGGGCCTAGTCCACGGCCATTAATGCCGAACATCATGCAAAGCTGAGGCAAGGATAGAGATCTATCGGACCTGCCCCCAGTTCTGAAGCTCAGCCACATGCAGGAGGAGGACTGATAAACCAAGTTCCAGGTAGGGGCATTGCAGGCAGTAGCAGCACTAGCACAGGCCCCGGGTTTGGGGAATGATGAAAGCAGTGAGCTGACTGACAGATCATGAGGCAGGAATAGTGAGTAGTGGGATTTCAGGTTCCCGGATCAGTCAGAGTTCAATGGAGAAGCAGAACCAGAAGGGATACACACCTTTATAGTATTTGATGTGCTACCAGGAATTGGCCTGCACACTTGTGAGACTGATTTCTGTAAGGCTAAATCTCTGATGCTGGAACTGGAGTGCTCAGTCAGAAGGGGAAGATCAAGAGCGGCTGAAAGCCACTAGCACAAGCTGGAGCCCTAGGATAGACTATGCCTGTGTCCATTATTGCTGCTTCTGTCTTTGGTGACAAGGGGATCCTGCAGAAGCTGAGTGAGGCCCTTCTCCATACAGAGCTAACTAACCATGCACACAACTGATTGAGTCAAAAATAGACCTAAAGGAGAATCTAGGGAAAATAGGGTAATTGCAGGCCTACGTGCTGCTTCACACCAAGAAGATCTGCTTCATACGCAGATCAGTAATCAAAATGGTTGCTTCCTTCCAAATCTGGCAAATATATGCCTTTTAGCCCTCCCTAACAAGAAAAAAAATAAGGGAGTTCTGGGAAATGTAGTTTAGCTGAGATAAGTTGACAAAGCCATCACAGTTCCCCCATTATAAAATGGATCTGGCCCTAGCAGGTTTGGCTCAGTGGATAGGCCTGAAGACTGAAGGGTCTCAGGTTCAATCCCAGTCAAGGGCATGTACCTAGGTTGCAGACTCTATTTGCCTCCCTCCCCTGCATAACCCTAGCCCCCAGCCTTAGTCTGGGGCACATGTGGGAGGCAATTGATGGGTCTGTTTTCTCTCATATGGATGTTTCTCTTAGTCTATCCCCCTCCTTTCCACTCTCTTAAAAAAAAAAAATTTAATGGAAAATCCTCAGGTGAAGATTAACAAAATGGATGAGGGTGAGAAGACTAGACCAGGGTCTCAAACACAGAGGTGCAGGGTACCAGGCCAGACAGGGTGGTTTGGCCATCTGGAGGACACAAGACCCTGCCTGAATTGGGGCAATAACTACCCAGTCCTGCTGATTGTTGCCAGGCAGCGTGTGGCTTAGTATGGCAAGAGCTTCACATTTTTTCAGACTGTGTTAGAAGCATCTCGTGAAAAAAAACTCTTTTTTGTTAATCCTCACCTGAGGATATTTTTTCCCATTGATTTTTAGAGAGTGGACAGAGGAAGGGGGGGGGGAGAGAGAGAGAGAGAGGGAGGGAGGGGGAGGGAGAGAGAGAGGTGTCAATGAAAGAGACACATAGACTGGTTGCCTTCTGCACCTGCTCTGACCGGAGCTGGGGATCAAATCTGCAACCCAGGCTAAGTGCCCTTGACCATGAATCGAACCTGCGATGCTTCAGTGCACAGGCCAATCAATGCTGTAACCACTGAGAAACACCAGCCAGGGGTCATGAAATATTAAGTCCCTCTTCTACAGGCAAGGCGGATTGGCCTGGACCATTCAGGGAGGCATGCGTAGGGTGCCTTAGCATGGCAGTGGTCCCACATGAGCTCAGCTCTGTCATTTGAGGCACACATCTCAAGAACTTTTTATGTGAAAACTATAAACTTTTTTTGTGTGTGAAACTTCCCACTTTTAAGATGTGGGCTAAAAAAAAAAAGTTTCTATTTCACACATGTTAGGATAGTTATTTAAAAAATAGAACAAAACAAGAATGGCGAGGATATGGAGAAATTGGAACCTTGTCCACTGTTGGTGGGAATATAAGATGGTGCAACTGCTATGGAAAATAGTATGGTGGTTTCTCAAAAAGTTAAACATAGAATTACCATAATTTTACTTCCCAGTATACATTAAAAAAAAATTGAAAGCAGTGTCTCAAAGAGTTATCTGTACACCATGCTCATAGCAGCATTATTCACATTAGCCAAAAGGTGGAAGCACCCCAAGTGCTTTGGTGGATGAATGGGTAAGCAAAATGTGGTCTATCCATACAATGATGTTATTGTCTTAAAAAGTAAGGAAATTCCGATATAAACTACAAAATGGATGAATCTTGAGGACAATATGCTAAGTTAAATAAACCAGACACAAAAAGACAAATACTATATGACTCTACTTATATGAAATATCGGATTCATAGAGATGTAAAGTTAAGTGGTGGTTGCCAGGGTTGGAGGGAGGGAGGAATAGGGAGTTGCTATTTAATGGGTAAAAAGTTCCAGTTTTGCAAGATGAAAAATCTCTAGCAGGGTAACACAGTTGTTTAGAGCAGTATTCACCAACCTTTCAGACTTCATGGACCATCAGTGGTTGGCGACCACTGGTTTAGAGCATTTCCCACTATGCCAAGGTTGAGGGTTGGATTCCCAGGCAGGGCACATACAAGAATCAGCCAATTAATGCATAAAATAAGTGGAACAACAAATGGATGTTTCTCTCCCTTTCTCCTTTCCTCTCCCTAAAATCAATAAATAAAAATTTTAAAAATAAAAGCTCCTGCGGACACATTATTCTTTCATGTCCTACCTTGAAATGAAAAGACCTACCTTGGCAAGTAGCTCAGTTGAAAAGAGTGTCCTCCCCATACACCAAGTTTGCAGGTTTGATTCCCAGTCAGGACATATATAAGAATGAATGAATATAACAAATTGATCTTTCTTGCTCTCTCTCTAAAAATAATATGTTTGGGGTTTTTTAAAGAAAAAACCCTACCAAACTGATTTATAACCCTAACAGTGGGGAGATAGTAATGAAAAATAAGGGAAATTTCATTTTTGTTGCTTACTAAACCTGAGGCTAAAGAAATAAGTCAACCTTCTGGTAAGTTCAAGGCTTGTGTTTGTTTTTTTAAGATTTTTAATTGATTTTGAGAGGGGGGGAGAGAGAAACATTGATGTGAGAAACATCTATCTCCTGCCTTTTGCATACCCTCTCCTGGGATCCTACCTGCCACGCAGGCATGTGCCCTGACCAGGAATCAAACCAGCAAGCTTTTGGTGTATGAGACAATGCCCAATCAACTGAGTTATACTGGCTAAGGTTAGTTATGTGTATTTTTTAAAAAATACATTTTATTGAGTTTCTACAGAGAAGAAGAGAGAGGGATAGAAAGCCAGAAACATCGATGAGAGAGAAACATCGATCAGCTGCCTCTTGCACACCCCCGAATGGGGATATGCCCACAACCAAGGTATATGCCCTTGACCAGAATCGAACCTGGGACCCTTCAATCCCCAAGCCGATGCTCTATCTATTGAGCCAAATCGGTTTCGGTAGTTATGTGTATTTTTTTTAAATCTCAATAATACCACCAAAACACCATGCAGAGCAACTCAAGCAAAACTGGAGGCCACAATGAAGCACTCCTGGTCTCAGTGAAGGGTTTCTGAGTACTCACCACCACTGGCCAATCATGCCTTCTCAACTGGGATGGTGATCTAAAGACAAATTTAGAGACAAGGTAGAGTGGGTGGAAGTCACCACAAGGGTTGGAGTCATAGACCACTCTCTCCCATCACCCCTGCCAGGAGGTGTCAAAGCTGCCCTCTAATTGGTAGAGCTCTCAATACCTGATTTGCAAGGGGCTTGGGCCAGCGCCCTCCGGAGGTTCCATAGTGGTGGTGGTGGTAGGGGGGCCACCCTCCAGTCTGCTCAGGGCCTGCTTCCTTTTCATACAGCCACTGGGACAGCATTTTGCGGGTCCTTGTCTCCTGGATGCCCCAAGAGCCTTGGTGCTTCTGGAGTCATTGGTTCTTCCCTCAGGATCTCTGGGAAGGGCCTCTCCTGGCACACCAGAGCCAGAAAGGAGGGGCCCACGTGCACGTACACCCAAATGCTTAATAGCCAGGTGTGGCATCTGGTTAATGCTGTGGCTCCTCGCCTAGCACAGGACAGGGCATGTAGTAAGTACTCACATTCACCTAACAGATATTGGCACACCTACCGTTAACTTTGGGAGAACAAAAGAGTGAAAAAGAGGTCCCTGCTTTCATGGAATTAATAATCTGGGTAGAGGGACAACCGATAACTACCCCAGATGAGTATCTAACTGTAAAGCAGTTCAGTGCCAGGAGGAGCCTGCAGAGCAAATCATAGGGGCTCTGACCAGGCCAGGGCAGGCAGATGGTCAGCCCCCACCTTTACCCCAAGCCCGAGTCATCCCTCTGTGCTCTGCTCTACCCAGAGGCCGGGGATCTGCATAGGACGTGGAGGCTGTGACTAGGATTCTCCTCACCCAGACTCTATGCTCCCTTGGTTAAGGCCAGAGTCTTGTTCCTGTACCCCATTCTCCCCCCAGTCCCTTGTGTTTGGCAGGTGGTCAGGTAGGTTTTAAGCTAAGGGATTCAGACAACTAATACTTTCGCCAGGACCGGTTTAGCTCAGTGGATAGAGTGTCGGCCTGGGGACTGAAAGGTCCTGGGTTCAATTCCGGTCAAGGGCATGTAACTTGGTTGCGGATGCATCCCCAGTGGGGGGGGTGTAGGAGGCAGCTGATCGATGATTCTCTCTCATCGATGTTTCTAACTCTCTATTCCTCTCTCTTCCTCTCTGTGAAAAGTCAATAAAATATATATTTAAATTAAAAAAATACTTTCGATAATAAAGGTTTAAAAAAAGATTCAGACAACTTCCAAGATTGAGAGAAGAGACTCATTAAAGAACCCCGCCAGCAAACCTTTTGTTTGTTTCCAAAAAAGCAGTTTTGTCCACAGAAAGCCCAAAATAAGTCCCAGAGTACCCCCACCAATAGCAGCATTTTTTGAAATATAAACAGTTTGTAAAATATAATTTATTCAGAAAAAAAAATACGTGTTAAGAACTTAATTCCAAAAGACTGACAGAGCCCAAAGGTTCAGCAGCACCAGACCAGGAGCTGAGAACTGCCAGTAGGATCAGGCTTTGAGGGAGGCTCTGTCAGTCTCACCAATAGGGCTGCCGGCATGATGGACCCCTGTGAGCTGATGGGGGTGGGGTGGGCCCTCCCGGCTGCCCAAATCCCCTCTGTGTGTTCTCCGTCCCAGCCAGGCTAGCCACTCCCCCATGAACCCACAGCTGTGAACTAACACGGTGCTACCTCCTCCCAAAGCAAAGCCATAGACACACAGTGAAAGAACCTGTTATCATCAACAGCATTTAGTGCAGCAACCATGACCCTGGTCTCTCAAAGTCCTGCATTACTGGCTGTGAGGCCGCTTGGCCGCTGGCTCTTCCTCCTTCTCCTGTTTCAGCCATCGCTCCATGAGCCCAGCTGCTCCTCTCTTGGTAGGGAGTGGGCTCTTCTGCAGGAACTGGCTGGACCACTGGGGCACATCTGGCACTGCCTTTTGGGGTGTTTTGGGGTTTTCCTTTTTGGGTGACTTTGTGGCCAGCCACTGCAACATCTGGCTGCTGCCGCTTGCCTTGAGCTCCTAGGGAAAAGATGAAAAAACATTTAGCTCACGCTTTTGGGAAAAGGACAACTCCAAGGGAAGAAATAGGGGAAGAGGCATGAGGTACTGACCCAGATTTATAAATTGTTACTAAAGGCAGACAGGACACACTGGTCAGGAGTGGGAAGAAAAGAGCAACTGAGTGTCTCCAAGGGGCTGAGGGGAGGGAGTAGCTCTTAGAGAAGGCCTGGTGGAGTCTGGGCGGCCATTCACAGCAGAGCACTGACAGCCTTTCAAACGTGCAGAGAATGAAGCGTTCTCAGGGAAAACAATGTAAGTTAGTGGGACCAGGCAAAGAGTTGGGAGATGAAGTTGGGGGAGATAGGGCTTCAAATAGCCTCCAAGATTAGAGGTTCAGCCTAAGCCTGAACAGGCTGCTTCCCTACCATGTAACCTTTCTGCACAACCTCTCCTTGCCCAGCACTGCTCTTCTGCTTCCCTTACCTGCACCCCAACCCAAATCGAAGTTCTGAATTCAACAATACTACCTCACCAAAATGTGAATTCTTTTGGTGTAAAGACCATGTCAGAAACGGGGCAGTGTCTAGTGCAAAATGAGTCATTTTTAGAGACATCTAATTAAAAAAATATATATATCAGGGTTGCATGAGTTTGCAGATAAACGAGACAAAAGAAAAAAGATGACACTGACTATGGGAATGGAAAACTTAAAAAAAAAAAAAAAAAAAAAGGAAAATGAGGGGTGCTCTTGCAATCACTGTCCTTAGGACTTCTCGGCAGTGTGAGATGCCTGTTCTTGGAGCCCGGAGCCATGTCCTGCTTCAGATCCCTCTTTGCACCAAAGACAGCGGAGCTGGCTTTTTGCTCTGGAGCCCTTTTCCCACTGTGGGCCGTTTGTTTGTTCAACTTCCCTTCAAAATACATCTTCAGGATCTTTACCATCTCTAAGAAGTTAACATATAGAGCAAATAGTCCTGAAGGGGAACAAAGATTGGAACTCCTCCAACTTGTGGTTGGGAAAGCAGAGAAAAAGTGAAAAGATACAAAAAAATCACAGTTAGTTATGGACAGAGATACAATTATGGTCAAGGGCTCCTTTTTCTTTCTCACAATCACCCTCTAGAGTAGAAGCCCTCAAACTTATCAGTAACTTTTATCAGACTCACCAAAGAGCTTCTGAATGATAGAAATCCAAGTACAGTCCTGAATAGTAGCTGACTCAGTAGGTCTGGATAGGGTCTAGCATTTACATTTGAAAGCCAACTTTGAATCACTGCTAGCTCACCCTTGCCATGAATAAGGAATGTGAGTTTTGGGTGGTGGCTCTAACTAAAAAGCCATATCCTAAAAGAAAATGCTACCCTGACAGAAGACAGAAAGCTCAAAAAGGACTGTGAGAGTCACACATGCCTACCTTTTTGGCCTGTAAGTCAACAGCAGCCACACACTCAGGCGTGTTGTTTCGGGAGTTGTTCACCACGGGAGAGACCGGGTGGAAGGCGATGTTGTCTGTGGGGTGGATTAGCTTCAAAGCTTCCTGAGTGGAGACCTCACCAAAATCAAGCCATTTAGAGACTGCCTCCTCTCCATCTAATATGGCAGGCATCCTAGCCAGTGAGGTCAAAACATTGGTTAGAAGAGAGAGAGTGAAGGTAGGGAGTGAGACTTTAGTTGAGAGCACAAATCATCCCAAGGAGAAGCTCGCCCTGCCTCTGTGCCTTACATGCTGATTGATGCCATGTGCTCCTTGACCACAACTTGACAGAGCACGAAATTCAACACTAGGAGAGCCATCTTATAAAGTTTATGGCAATGACAGGCAACAGTAATTATGACTGGACCCAGTGCACTGCAGTGTACACATTAGCAAACTGGTGACTTTTCTATGATGGCCCAGCTACAATTAAAGGAGAAACAGGTCCTGAAAAACTTGTCTATCAACAATAATCTCCAGTCTTACAACCTATGACAGATTTACGGTAAGAAAGACCTATGCACATAATTGTGAACAAAAGGAAGCTATGCCTCAGGAAGCAAAGAGGCTAAGAGCCATGATCCTGGTACCCAGGAAGATGCTAGGACAAAATCCTTTGTTTAGCTTCCAGTTTTATGTCCTAGGCCAACGCAAAGCATGGAATACACTTCATTGGTGGGTGGCATAGTTGATTTTAGGAGATAAATGCATAAATATCTTCTTCACAGTAACTCATAAGTTGCAACTCTTCCAACACATCCTTACTTTCACAAGCAAACTATGGGTCTTTTTAAGGTAAAGTACCATTATTTATTGTAGTATCTATGTATTTTGAAATCACCTAATACATAAAACTGTGATAATTTTTAATAGATTTCTATTTTATTAATGTGTCACTGACAAAGTTTTTTTAAGTGGAGCCCTCTTAACCCCTTTTCCCATAAAGTCTGTCATTTCATTATACAATTTTGAATAATATGGTGACTTTTAGGAATGCATGTCATGTTATAGCCAAACTGACTGTAATTATATTGGTGAGCAACTGTCCTGGTTTCCTACTGTCTAATTTGTGCATATAGCCAGGCTGGCATAGCTCAGGAAATCACAGTTCAATTCCCAGTCAGGGCACATGCCCTGGGTGTGGGCTTGATCCCCAGTGTGGGGTGTGCAGAAAGCAGCTGATCAATGATTATCCCATCATTGATATCTCTATTTCTCTGAAATCAATAAAAATATATGTGAAAACAAGGAAAAAAAAGAATAAGGACCTGGGTACCACAGCATTTAAAAAGTAAGTATAATAAATAAATAAACGTGTGCATACAGCAACTTTAAATTTCAAAAGCTCCCTATCTAAAAACAAAGAGAACACACCCTTCCCTGAATCCTTCTGGACCCAGGGATAAGTATGACTTGCCTATGGTGGATGTCATTCAAGCCTTTGCAGGAGTCCACTGTGATGATGGTGTAGGAATACAGGCAGTCTCCTCCCTGTGGTGGCTTCCAGCAGTCAAAGATCCCAGCCATTGTTAGTAGCCTCCAGTTGTCCCAAACTTTCTCCCTGTCCTCAGGACTATCTGCAGCATCAATACTGCCCTTCTGGAAACAAAATACATGGGCAGATTAGATACTCACCAGCCTTCTTTTACATGCAAGCTGGATACTACCACAGACTTAAGAGCATCGCAATCATTTTGGAAGTCATTTAGCACATACCATATTAACTCAAAGGAAAGAGGATTGGTGGCAAATACTCACCAAAGCTATAAGTTTATGGTTATTTCAATGCTTTCAGAATAGATCTTAATTCCTTCATTAGGCATTCAGGCCTTCTAATCCATCATGCCAGCTTTCGCTTACCATGTTAATCTGAACCAAACCAAACTGTTTGTAAAGAAGCTATCATATCCTTTTGTTCCCACTGTCTTGCAGAAACAACCTTCCCCTGCCCAAAACGTCCCTCCCACCTTTCTTATCGTGCCAGCTCCTACTTGCCATTTAAGATTCAGGTCAAGGCCTGGAATACAGGAAACTAGAAAGAGTGTCAACTTCACCTTAAATAATAAGAAAAAAGGCTAGATAATAGACCAAATCATAACTTTTCTTCAATTCATCAGAGAATTGAGGTCACATGGCAACCAATTAGCTTAAACTTCATAGAAAGACAGGAATCTCTGTGGGGAGATGAGACATAAGCACTGGCTTACCAGTGGCAACAGAAGGAAGGCAAGTCCTTCATACAGCAGATATGAAATGAAATAAAATTATCAAACTGCTATATGCAGAGTGTGGGCTAGCCTGAGAGTACATGATCCATGAGAGCTATAGACATCAAGATGTTTGCATAAGTTTGCATATTCTTTTTTTTTTTTTTAATTCATTGATTTCAGAGAGGAAGGGAGAGGGATAGATAGAAACATCAATGATGAGAGAGAATCATTGATTGGCTGTCTCCTCCACACCCACCTATTGGGGTTACAGCCTGAAACTGAGGCAAGTGCCCTTGACAGGTATCAAACCTGGGACCCTTCAGTCTGCAAGCCAATGCTCTATCCACAAGCCAAACCAGCCAGGGCTTGCATATTCTTCTCCACAGACCAGCCTGGGTGCTCACAGGTCAGACGACTGGAGAAAGTTTCCTGCTGGTGCATGCCTGCAGGAGAGGAGCTCTTCTGCTTCAGGAAAGGCATAAAGCTTTACCTGATCACTCTTCCTCTGAGGAATAAAATCCTTAAGGAGTCAGGGGGAAGGGTAATAAACCTAATCACTCTTTTTTTTTTTAATATATATTTTATTGATTTTGTACAGAGAAGAAGGGAGAGAGATAGAAACATCGATGAGAGAGAGTCATCGATCAGCTGCCTCTTGCACACCCCCCTACTGAGATATGCCCGCAACCAAGGTACATGCCCTTGACCGGAATCGAACCCGGGACCCTTCAGTTCCCAAGCTGACACTCTATCCATTGAGCCAAACCGGTAATAAACCCGATCACTCTTAAGATACAGGTAAGGATTCATGGAGGCTGAAGGATAAAAGAAAAAAAACCCAACCCTCTACTCCTCTGGGGAAGGAACAAGATCCCTGAGGAAGGCTGAGCCTGGGAGCTAGTGGCACAGTTCTGCCTAAGAGTGAGACTGAATGAATGAAGACAACAGAGAGCACTCCCTTCCCCTTCAGAGAGGCAGTACCAAGTGACAAGTGACAGCAGTCTAATTCTGGGTAAGGTTGATCATGGGGAGACCCTCTCTAGGCACAGGCTCAGAGGGAAATATTACAGCTGAAGGGAGCAGAGCTATTGAGAAAAATCCTCTGGAAAATCAACTCTTACTCTAAACACAAGGTGAGACCAAAAATTTTTAAAACCAGTGGTGAACAAAGGCAATCATAACAACAAATTTCAAACCCAGTTCAGTGGACAAGATCCACTCAATCTCACATGGTAATGGCCTAACAGAAGGATAAGTGTATCCATTTCCAAGCATAAATATTATTTATCTCAGTTTCTATGTTACATACTATGGCAATCAATAAAAATTTACAAGACACAACCCTGGCCAGGCACAGGTTGGAGCATCGCTGTGATACACCAAGGTTGCCAGTTTGATCCCTTCACCAACCAAAGAAGACATAAATAAGTAGAAAACAAATTGATGTTTCTCTCCTCCCCCAATAAATCAATCAATAAAAATTAGCCCTGAGATGTGACTTAGTTGGTAAGAGTGTCCTCCTGTGCACCCAAGGGTCACAGGTTAGATTCCCAGTCAGGGACATGCCCAGGTTTTGGGTTCAATCCCTTTTGGGGGTGCATATGGGAGGCAACCGATTAACGTTTCTCTCTGCCCCCTCTCCCTTCCTCTCTCTCCAAAATCAATAAAATGGCCGAAACTGGTTTGGCTTAGTGGATAGAGCGTCAGCCTGCAGACTGGACGGTCCCGGGTTCTATTCCAGTCAAGGGCATGTACCTTGGTTGCGGGCACATCCCCAGTACAGGGTGTGCAGGAGGCAGCTGGTCGATGGTTCTCTCTCATCGACTTTTTAAAATATTTTTAAAATTTTTCTAAAAATAGTGGTGATGGTTGCACAACTTTAAATATATTCAAAAATCAGACTTGCGTCCTGACTGGTTTGGCTCAGTGGATAGAGTGTCAGCCTGCGGACTGAAGAGTCCCAGGTTCAATTCCAGTCAAGGGCATGTACCTTGGTTGCAGGCACATCCCCAGTAGGGGATATTTTATTGATTACCTTTGTTCTATCCACCCTATCTGGAATGTCAGTAGGGGTGCACAGGAGGCAGCTGATCGATGTTTCTCTCTCATGGCTGTTTCTAACTCTCTATCCTTCTCTCTTCCTCTCTGTAAAAAATCAAAATACATTAAACATTAAAAAAAAAAAATCAGACTTGCATAATTTTAAAAAGTGAATTATATCTCAATAAAGCTATTATTTTAAAAAATAACTCTACGAAGACCCTGTCCAGGTAGCTCAGTTGGTTAGGGCATTATCCTGTCAATGATGATGGTTCAATCCTCTGTCAGGGCATATGTAGGAGTCAACCAACGAACGCATAAGTAAAACACCAACTTTATATTTTTCTCTCAAAATCAATAAAACAAAACACTCTGTAAGGGGAGGAAAAAATGTCCCTCTTTAGATTAGTTCTCTGTATCTTTCTAAATGAGTGCTGCTGCTGATACCTCTTCTGTTTTGATTTGGGGGAAGTAGATGAAGTATGGCTGCCTGTGGCTCGTGTACTGACTTCGCTGCCACTCGTAGAATCCATCTGCCAGAACAACACAGCGTCTCCCCTTCCCCAGAGGCACCTGCGGGAAAACGTGAGCAAGATACGGTCTTAGTGAGAGGATCACATTGCATGGAATGGAGTTAAAATCTTATGTCTGCCTGGCGGTGTGGCTCAGTAAAAGCAGTTGATCGTCAACCCAGGAACCAAAGAGGTCACTGGTTCCGATTCCCATGCAGGGCACATGCCAGGTGGCAGGTTCAATCCCCAGTAATGGGGTGTGCAGTAGGCAGCTGAATAAGGATGTATCTCTTTCATCTCATTTATGTTTCTCTCTCTCTATCCCTCTCCCTTCTTTTCTCTCTAAAAATAAAGAGTATATACATTAAAAAAAAAATCTTGGGTCTTATTGTTAGTCAGTTTGGCTCAGTGGATAGAACATCAGCCTGAGGACTGAAGGATCTGGGGTTCAATTCTGATTAAGGGCATATGCCTAGGTTGCAGGCTCGATCCCCAGTGGGGGATGTGTAGGAGGCAGCCGATTAGTGAGTCTCTCTCATCATTGATGTTTCTGTCTCTCTCTCCCTCTTCCCTTCCTCTCTGAAATCAATAAAAATATATTTAATAAAAATAAAAATAATAATCTTGGATCTGCCAATGTAATATCATCATCTTAGAGTAGTTATTTCTCTGTACCTCAGTTTTCACATGTATAAAGTCACCCTCACTCAGATGTTGAAAAGATTAAATGTACACAACAGCAACAGCTCTCTAACAAATAGGCACTTGTGGTAGCTGGTCTCCAAAGTTGGTTCCCCAATGAACTATGCATCCCAGTATTCATCTCCCATGGGGCAATAGCGTGCATAGAAGTGATGCTATGACTTCCAAGGCTAGGCCACAAAATCCTGCAGCTCCTGCCCTACTGTCTTGAATCATGAGCTTTGGTAAGCCTGACGCCACGTAAGAAGCCTGACTACCCTGAGAACCCCAGCTGGGCACCTGGAAGGCTTTCAGTTGTTCTATCCACCCTAACTGGGGTGTCAGACATGCGGGTAAAGAAGCTCTCTTAGCCCTAACCAGTTTGGCTCAGTGGATAGAGTATTGGCCTGTGGACTGAAGGGTCCCGGTTTGATTCCCGGTTGGGGGAACATGCCCGGGTTGCAGGCTCGATCCCAATAGGGGACATGCAGGAGGTAGCCAATCCATGATTCTCTCTCATCATTGATGTATCTCTCTCGCGCTCTCTCTTCCTTTCTGAAAAAATAAAATTAAAAAATAAACTATCTTAGATATCTAGCCCCAGCTGTCATCTGATTATAACTACACAAGTGAAACTGTCCACTTGAGCCCAGTCAACCCACAGAATATAATAAATAATATAGTAGATTTGTTAAGCCACCAAGCTTTGGCCTGGTTTGTTACACAGTAATAATAAAACAGTATTCAGAGAGGGACCTTCCGAGAGGTTCCACAGAGAACCTTATTTTACTTTTCAGGTGCCGAAGGCACTGATAGCTCTGTTCCTAAAAAGCACCTTTCCCTGGATGAGGTACCGACCTTGAAGGACAGTTTCTCCATCATGGTATCACTACGGCAGTTGCTCGTGTTGAACTGCAGTTTGGAAGGATCATCTTCTTTGAACCAAGATGGGACCAAGCCCCATCGCATAGGAGCAATGACACGCTCAGATGAGTCTGCACCCTGCCAAAGGTTAATAAGATCCAGTGAGATCATAATAAAATTTTAAAAACCAAGTTTAGCATATGCATTACATTACTATTAGTATCAAAATACAAAGAATAGAGAAAAGAGCCGAAACCAGTTTGGCTCAGAGGATAAAGCATCGGCCTGCGGACTGAAAGGTCCCGGGTTTGATTCCGGTCAAGGGCATGTTACCTTGGTTGCGGGCACATACCCGGTGGGAGGTGTGCAGGAGGCAGCTGATCGATGACTCTCTCTCATCGATGTTTCTAACTCTCTATCCCTCTCTCTTCTTCTCTGTAAAAAAAAAAAAAAAAATAGAGAAAAGATTAAAAGGGAAAGATTCTACTTGAAAACAATTTTAGTAATTTATCATAATGTAACTTGTGTTCTTTAGCAATTATATTTATGGGAATGTAAGACATTCTGCTTGGGTAGAATAGGGGACATAAAGAGATTCTGTTCCTACAAACATGTAATTAGTGCCTATCAAGGAATGTACTTAGTTTGTCCCCTTACAAAACGAGAACATAAGGAAGCACACAAAATTTTCCAGATTTCTACTTGTGTCTTTTTCCCTAACTGATACTATTGTGTATCTTCTCACTGTCATAAAGCTTGGCCACTATATGCCTTATATGTTGAGTCCCTCTAAAAATTTCCAAATGTGAAGGTAGTTTTGGCCCCCAACAAATGGCTTTTATACTTTTTTTTTGCATTTGGACCTTGGGAATTTGATAAAATTTACAGATTGAAGTGCACATACACACTATTCTGCACAGCATAGTACACACGGAAGAAACCAGTGGTAGAGTATGTATTTTTGGTGCTACAATAGTCCAGGGATCTGATAATAAGGATACAGTAGCTCTGGTGACAGAAGTGAAAATAAAAGTCATCTAAAAGATAGAAAAATGAAACTGTGGTGCAACAAGAAAAAGAAAACAGGGATGATTAAGTTTTCAGTCCCTGACGACTGAAATAATGATGCCACTATTGAACAAAATTCTGAAGGGTTTGATTTGGGGAAAGGTCACATGTGGAGTTTCTGATAATAGTGGCAAGTCTAGATGTGGCAGTTTAAATAAAAGGTTGAAAAATATTTACCATTTTCCCCCTTAAGAGCTGGAGTCTATGTTCCCTTCCCTTGAATCTGAACGGGCTGTGACTCGCAGGGTGTGGCACAAGTAACACTGTGATTTCTAAGGTTCAGTCAGGAAGTCAGCTTCCTGCTTATTTGCTGCGACGCTGCTTTTGGAACTGAGCGGCCATGCTGTGAAAAAGCTCTGGCTGGCAGCACAGGTTAGCAGCCAACATCACTGCCAGGTAAGGACTGAAGATGCCCCTAGATCAGAAGTTTGTAAACTTTTTCTTTTAAATAAAAGGCCAGATATTAAATACTTGTCAGGTTAGAGAGTCTCGGTTATAGGGACAAAGATTTATAGACAATAAATGGATATTGCTGTATTCCATATAATTTCATTACAAAAATGATCAGAGGGCTTTAGATTTCTAACTCCTGCTCTAGATGATTCTAGCCCCAGATTCCAAGTCTTTTCAGCTAAGACCCCAGACTTCAGGGAAGTGACAAACAATATCTGCAATGCTTTGACTTAATTTCTCACTAGTGAACATAATAAAGGTTATTTTGGCCCTGGCTGAGTAGCTTAGTTAGTTGAGAGTGTTGTCCTGATATGCCAAGGTTCCATCCCCAGTCAGGGCACACACAAGAAGCAACCAATAAAGGTATATGTGGAACAACAAGTAGATGTCTGTCTCTCTCTCTCTCTTTCTCTCTCTCTCTCACATCATTTTTAAAATAATTCAAGATTATTTTAATTCACTAGAATAAGATTCAAACAGAGCTACTTACCATGTCCAAAAAGCATGTAGAATTAAACTTAGGAGAGAGGCAGCATGATAGAGAAAATGGGTCACCGAACTCTTTCTATAATGGGCTAGATAGCAAATATTTTTGTCTTTGTGAGTTCATATAGTCGTTGCAATGACTCAAGCAACTAAACTCTGTCTCCATTGGTTGTGAGAAAACAGCCAAACAACAAATGAATGAGCTTGGATTTGATCTAATAAAACGTTATTTGCAAAAACAGGTAGTGAGCCAGATTTGGTCTGAGGACCATAGTTAGCCAACCTCTGGTACAGAGGAAAAAAATAAGGCCTTTGAAAGACTCAGATTAAAAAATTCCTTCACTGCTACTTACGAAGTTGGACTAGTTTCAACTATCTGGACCCTCAACTTTCCTTTTCTGTCAAAATAGAGCGAACAATACATGCCTTGGAGAACCATTAAAATGTGTGGCATGGAATACACATACAAATTGCAGTGTAGTATTTTTTTAGGTCAGAATTATAAAGGTGACTTAAAGCCATCAGGATAAAATTTCTAAGAGAGTAAATAAAGTGCAGGATTTAACCTGGAGGTATAAAAAGAGAAAAGGAGAAATGAGGGGAAAGTAGAGTCCAAGAAAAAGTGCCTAGAGAGAAAAAAAGCAGAATGAGAAAAGTCAAAAAAGGACTCATCAGTAGTGGTGTCTCCAAATTAACCCTTCCACTGTGCTCTTGATAAGATCCTGTCCTGTTTCTTTCAAAATCTTGTCTGAACAGTCAATCCCTGTCTATACCCATCATCCATTCTCATTAATCACGACAGGATCCACAACACTGCTCAAACCCCGAGTCAGCAAACACCCATCTGCATCTGCTGGTCTTAGGGAAATGCAGGGCTTGTTTCCCATGAGCCAATGAGGACAACATTTTCATCACCTGATTAATATGCCGCCTTGTTTAATGTGTATTTCTATTTAAAGACACTATTGCATATATTGTTGATTTTTTTAATGTTGAATTCATTTCCAACAGCACAGTAAATTATGCTGGATTAAGCTTATTTAACACATGTATTTTCTCTGTAAGGCATATTACAATCTTCTTACACTTGGGAATACTAGCCAGCAAGCACTCCAGGACTGTGCCTGGGAACAGTTTTAAACAGTGCATAAAACATAACACTAAATGGACTGCAAGAAGGACACTTGTTTATAGCATAAGAAGTGAAACAAGAAGGTAGAGCTACACACACACACACACACACACACACACACACACACACGAAGGTAGAGCTTCATTTTTTGTTTGTTTTTTAAGAGCTTTGTCTTATTCAATCATGTGACTCAAAATTTCACCACCTGTATTGTCCATGATTGATAAATATACCCATGTTTAAAAGTAACAGTATATTTAGAAGTCTATAAATACATTTTAGCAAGTAGGCAAATTTGCAAACCCAGAATTTATAAATGAGAATCGTGTGTGTGTGTGTGTGTGTGTGTGTGTGTGTGTGTGTGTGTGTTTTCCTCCCGTAAAGACAGAGGCAGCCTAGGTAGAGTGTGTGGACCCCAAGAAAGAAGATCTACTGGGAACGGCTCCCAGTGGCTGAGTTCAGATTTAAAAAACAGAGCCTAGCAGCCATTCCATACGGGGGCCTTTCACACAAACTTCACTGAGAGAGAAGCCCAGGCTAAGCTGCCTGCCTGTGTTTCGCCACTTGAGCCGATCCTCATGAAGGAGTGCCTGGAGCCTCAGCCTCTGACGGAAGGGTCCCGGGTTCAATTCCAGTCAGGGGCACATGCTCAGGTGCAGGCTCGATCCCCAATAGGGGCATGCAGGAGAAAGCTAATTAATGATTCTCTCTCATCATTGATGTTTCTATCTCTCTCTCTCTCCCTCTTCCTTCCTCTCTGAATTCAATAAAAAAAAATATATATATATTTTTAAAAAAGGAGTACCTGGAATCCTATTTTCAACCAATCAGACTAAGGATTTCCCTAACGAGTGTGTTCACTGGATAATTGTACTAAATCAAACCCAAACGTGAGGCTGCCCTCTATGGGTACAATGAATAAAAAGTGGCTGCAGCCGAAACCAGTTTAGCTCAGTGGATAGAGCGTTGGTCTGTGGACTGAAAGGCCCCAGGTTCGATTCTGGTCAGGGGCATGTATAATACATTGGTTTCGGAAACATCCCCAGTAGGGGGTGTGCGGGAGGCAGCTGGTCGATGTTTCTCTCTCATCGATGTTTCTAGTTCTCTATCCCTCTCCCTTCCGCTCTGTAAAACATCAATAAAATATATTAAAATAAATAAATAAAAAGTAAAAAGTGGCTGCAGCCAGGCCAGTGACTCAGGTGACTGAGCACTATCCCGTGCACCAGGAGGTCGATGGTTTGGTTTGTGGTCAGGGCACACGCCTGGGTTGTGGGATCCGTCCCCCTTAGGGGGCAAGCTGGAGGCAGAAGATCAACAGATGTTTCTCATTGATGCTCCTATCTTTCCCCTCCCTTTCTCTCTTTAAAATCAATAAAAACATTAAAAAAAAAAAAAAAGTAGCTGCAAAGTCAAAATACTGAAAATATTGCTCAGTATTACTCATCTTTCCTCTACATTTTTGGACTTGTGACCAGAACAGCTTGTAACCTTGATATAGGCAAATGAAAGAGGAAGTAATTTGCAAACCAGTGGTTTCAAATGTAAATGTTGCAATCTATACATATGTACTGGCCGTTGACGATACGGATTAAATAAACTGCTGAAATGATTCTAATTTTACTTTACAATTTACAGGTTTGAGAAAAAGAAAACCTCAACTATTTATCAATTAGGAAAGCCTAGCAATCTTAATAAAATTTATTAGAGATGTGGAGTCAAAACACTACCTCAATAAGCAAATTCACACCACGGACAGAAAAGGAGGTCTCAGCTTGCTAGGGCCTCCACGTTCCCCATTCCCAGTTCCTTCCGGGAAGCATTTACTCAAGTGGGGTCAGTGGTCTGAACCTTAGTCCCAGCCGTATCCATCACTAACTGGGTAACCTTAGAAGTCACAATCTTTCTGCAGTTCTGCCTTTACATCTGTTTAACAAAATTATTCTTCCAGCTAACACTCATTATATAATTCTAAAGAGGTAGTACAAAAAACAAAACAAAAAAAACAAAAACAAAAAACAACCTGCCGAAACCGGTTTGGCTCAGTGGATAGAGCATCAGCCTGCGGACTAAAGGGTCCCAGGTTTGATTCCGGTCAAGGGCATGTACTTTGGTTGCGGGCACATCCCCAGTGGGGGGTTGGGGGGGTGTGCAGGAGGCAGCTGATTCATGTTTCTCTCTCATTGGGGTTTCTAACTCTGTAATCTTCTCTTTTTCTCTCTGAAAAATCAATTAAAAAAAAATAAATAAAATAAAAAACACCCACAAAGCTGAAAAAGAGTCTCGTACACTTAATTCTTCTCTCTTTTCACTTCAAATTATACCTTCTTTTAAAACATGTTTTATCTCCCAGTCAAGGTTCATTTTACTTTTATTATCCTCTCATTAAAAAAAGCTTCCTTAAATGGTTTCCTAGAGGAAGGGAGACGAAGAGACAGCCAGAAACATCAATAATAAGAGAATTATTGATCAGCTGCCTCCCACATGCCCCACACTGAGGATCAAGCCTGTAACCCCAGCATATACCCTGATGGGGAATCGAACCATGACCTCCTGATTCATAGGTCGATGCTCAACCATAACCAGCTGGGCAAGAATAAACTATTTTATGTAAATGGCTTCATTCAATCAAAAAGACAAATGTTATTAGGTTATTTCAAAATAATGTGATCCCTATAATGTAGAGATGAGTCTTTCTTGACTACCATATTATCACAAGAGTTCTGAAGAGTATGTAGCACTAGTATAATCAGCTTGATAAAGTGATTTAAGCATTATGGATCAAACAGAATAAAAATCTAGCATGGAGCCAAAACCGGTTTGGCTCAGTGGATGGAGCGTCAGTCTGTGGAGTGAGGGGTCCCAGGTCAAGGGCATGTACCTTGGTTGTGGGCACATCCCTGGTGGGGGGTTGTAGGAGGCAGCTGGTTGATATTTCTCTCTCATCAATGTTTCTAGCTCTCTGTCCCTCTCCGTTCCTCTCTGTGAAAAATCAATAAAATATATATATTTTTTAAATCCAGCATGGAAATAATCATGTTTTTAAAACATATCAAGGATATTTAATATTTAAATAAAAAAACATAAGACACAGCCGAAGCCGGTTTGGCTCAGTGGTAGAGCGTCAGTCTGCGGATTGAAAGGTCCCAGGTTCGATTCCGGTCAAGGGCATGTACATTGGTTGCGAGCACATCCCCGGTGAGTGGTGTGCCAGAGGCAGCTGGTCGATGTTTCTCTCTTATCGGCGTTTCTATCTCTCTATCTCTCTCCCTTCCTCCTCTCCGTGAAATATCAATAAAATATATTTTTTTTAAAAACAAAAAACATAAGACACAGAGAAACTATTAACTTCTGGAATGAAGCATTTTTATCACATGCATGCTTATAATAAGAATAAAGCAAAGAACAAAAACACGATTATAAATTATGGGTCACTCCAACACTACAATAGGTGAATACTATAAACACAATGAATGCAACTAGACTTCAGATAACCAAACCAAATACATCTAGCTTCAATAAAAGATAACATAAAAAGACTGATAACACAAGCAGAGAGAACAGAAATTTCAATGTTCAAGAAACATCAGATGTTTTAAATTAGCTAGTCATAATCCTGCCTTAGGCCTAGAGATTCTGATTCAATAATACTAGTAAGGGGCATGGGACCCTTATGATTATTTAAAAAGGAAAAACATTAAGTATCTATTTATGGAATTCTGAGAGGAAGGGAAAGGGAGAAAGAAGCATCAGTGAGAATCATTGATCAGCTGCCTCCTGAGCCACACCAGCCGAGTGAAGAAACAAAATTTTTAAATCCTCATCTGAGATTATGTTTGTTGAATTTAGAGAGAGAGGAAGGGAGAGAGGGAGAAAGAGAGAAACATCCATTGATTGCCTCCTATGTGTGCCCCTACTGTGGACTGAACCAGCAACCTAGGTATGCGCCCTAAGAATCAAATCTACAACCTTTTCGACGTATGGGATGATGCTCCAACCCACTGAGCCACCCAACCGAGGCCTTTTAAAAAAAAAATTTTAAGATACTCAAATGACCCTGATAATCAGTGTGGTTGGAAAGATGCTGTCTTTAAAAATGTATTCAAATACAAGGCTCATGTAAATTGGACATGCACTAAGAGTAGTATGCCTTGTATTATATAAAGAAGGCTCTTAAATTGAGCCTGAAGAATATGAATCTTGCAAGACTCAAAGATACCAATAGAACTCCTGTCAGTGAGGCCAGAGTGGTTCTCAACCTAGGGTCAAATAAAGGCTGGCTTTTAAATATCATCTCCGAGACTGAGCATGCCCCAAACCAAATACAGCTAACCCCGAACAACACAGGTGTTACCTGCATGAGTCCACTTATCTGCAGATTTGTTTCAATAAATACTGTAAATGTACTTCCCTTACAATTTTCTTAATAGCATTTTATTTTCTCTGGCTTACTGTATTTTAAGTAATAGACGTAACATGCAAAAATATTTTAATCTACTGTTTATGTTATGAGCAAGGCTCCCAGTCAAGTGTAGGCTGTTAACTAAAGTTTTCGGAGAGTCGGAAATTATATGTAGATTTTCAGGCTTTTGTAGGGCTGGAGGTGGGGGTTATTGGCGACCCTAACACTCCCCCTTTCCCCCCAACAGTTCAAAGATCGACTGTGAAGCCAACACGACGCAGACAAAGCGTTACCTTCTCGAAGTGGAGGCGGGACAGCAGCACGGGGCCGTCGGACTGCGGGCTCTTGTTGTAGGAGGGCCGGTACTTGTCGGGGTCCCTCCACTCGGGGAGCCGGTGCTGGCCCCGCCGGTCCCGGTAGGCGCAGGCCCGGGTGAGCGCGTCCCGGGGCAGGTGGCAGGACGTGCGCCCGCACATCCCGCCGCGCCGCCTCTCAACCCCAACCTGCAAAGCCAACACCGGGGGTCCGGGCGCCGCCCCTCCTCCGAGCCGCCCCGGCCTCCTCCTTCCCTCTCCCTCCAGGATGGACTGGGCCTCCCGCCCTCCCCTCCCCGACGGCGGCCAGGCCCGGGCCAGCCCTGCGGTTAGTGCCCGAACCAGCCTCCTCCCGCCGTGGCTCCCGCTCCCACCAGCAGGGACGCCGGCCACACCGCGCGCGCCCCGGCGTCCAGGCGGCCCGACGCCGGCGCCACCAGCCCGTCCCTCCGCGCCGGGGCACCCCCTCCGCCCCGGCTCCCCGCCCCATCCCATCCCCGTCTCCCTCCCCATCTCACCTACCCCTTCCCCTTCTCACGCCCACCCCGCCCCCTCCGGCCGCCTCACCCCGCACCGCCGCCCGCACCGCTTCACTTGGCTGGGCCCGGCCTCCGCGTCGCCGCCCGGTGCAGCCCGCCCTCCGCTCTCCGCTCTCCGCTCTCCGCTCTCCGCTCTCCGCTCTCCGCTCTCCGCTCTCCGCTCTCCGCTCTCCGCGCTCCGGGCCCGCTCTCCGCTCTCCGCGCTCCGGGCTCCGGGCTCCGGGCCCCGCTCCCCGCTCTCCGCGCTCCGGGCCCCGCTCCCCGCTCTGCGCTCCGGCCCCGCTCACACTCCCGCCGCCCGCGGCCCCGCCCGCTGACGCACCAGCCCCGCCCCCACGGGGATGTGGCCCCGGGCGCCCCGAGGCCCTGCAGTCCCGGCTTCTTTCCTCCCGCCTCCTGACGAGGTGGCTCGGTGACGAAGGTTGCCTTCGGGACTCCGGGCCCTCGAGCTCTTGGAGATGGACTTCCCTCCACGTTGGATCCGCAGGACCAGGTCCTCCCCCGCGGCGCGGGCAGAGACCCTAGCAAGGTCCCGGGGGGGGGCCTGCGGTGCCCTCGGTGTGTAGCGGAACCCTAACTCTAGGGCCCCGGTCTTTATAGAGGTGAAATCAGGAAGTATTTTCTTTACTTCACAGGCCTAGTAACTGACTCAAAGTTTGGGGCAAAAGTGGACCATCAGGTAAACTTGCAAGAATCACACAAGTGATTCACTTCAGTGGGCCCCGGAATGCACCTTTCCAAGGCCCTCACCTTCACCCCATCTGAATCTCTAAGGGGGAGGACCTGGATTTATTTTTTAAAATATTCTTCTTGATTTCAGAGAGGAAGGGAGGAGAGAAACATCAGAGTCCTTGATTGGCTGCCTCCTGCACGCCCCAAACTGGGGGTCCAGCCAGCAGTCCTGTTGAATCTCCTGGTTCAAAGGTCAGTGCTCAATCCCTGAGCCAGGTGGGCTGGGCTAAAGATTTTTCAATTGATTATTTACAGAAGGGAGAGGGAGAAACACTGATAAGGTGAGAGCAATAAACATGGATGAGCTGCCTCTTGCACGCCCCCAACCAGGGCCCCCAACCAGGGATCCAGCAGCAACCAGGACACGTGCCCTGACCGGGAATCAAAGCAACAATCTTTTGGTGCAAGGGATGATACCCAACCGAGGCCACACCAACCAGAGCTGTCCTGGATTTTTAAAAATGTGCTTTGCAAATTTATTTCAGTTACACAGTTGCTAAACCACCTGGCTCGAGTTTACAAATACAACTAAGGTGGCCTCTGAGCCTGCTCCCTTGAGACATAAACCAGGGATTTCTGCCTCCGGAGCTAATAGAGAGAGCAAGTTCCAGACTGTTTTTCCTTTCTGTGCATTCCCTGAATTGGACTGAAGTGGGAGCAGGCAGACCCCAGCACACACTTCAGATGTTAGGGATACCCAGGTCATCCATCCAAAACCCTCAGGGGCCTCCATCCATCACCCAGAAAAAGAAGGTGGTTGTGAAAATGCAAAAATTAAGTGTTTGAACTCAAAGCCTGTCAGCTGGTGTCATTCCCTCAGTGAACCAGTTCTGCTCCTGCTCCTGAGTGTGAGGCTTGGACAGAGATGAGTAAGAGAGGGTCCTGCCTCATGGTAAGAACAGCAGCCAAAGGTCTGTGGAAGAGAGGGCAGAGTAGGTGTTCTTGGTAGGGAGGCCCAGAGGGGAAAGGTGGAGCCCCTTAAGCATGAGTCAACAAGAAGCAGCAGTCATTCAATAAATACATACTGATTTATTTATAGGGATAAGCTGGTTTCTTTGGGGATAAATTCAAGAGATGCAAGCATTTTATTAATTTGTGATATCCTTCCTTGGCAGGCAGGGCAGCAAGTTCTAGGATAAACTACTAAAATGATCCTTAAAAAACAAAAAGTTACCCCCTAACAGTCCTGGGGCAAAAGTAAAATAAAAACACCCCAATGATTCCTAGTTGTTTTTGAATACAGAAGCTCAGGACGGGGTTTCCACTGGATACACGAGGAAGGTGCAACTTCTGCGTAGTGTTGGGGGCCAAGAGTGGGAGCAGGCCCTCAGCCAACAGATGCCAAGATGATGTCTACTGGCAGCTCCTCGGAACTTCTGGCTGTCACCTGCATTGTGACCGTGTCCAAAAGCAGCAGCCGGGAGCGCACAAGGATGTCATGTCCACCCCGGAACACACCTGGAAGGTAAGAGAAACACAGGCGTGTAAGGCAGAGGGGGACGCAGAGGTTATGCGGAGGTGGCATTGGCAGCAACTGATCAAGGCCGCCCTGGGGTAGTGAAGTGGGAGTAGGGTTGGGACCAGAAAACTGGACTGAAATGCCCGGGTGACACCTTGCACACATCACTTAACCTCTCCGAGCTATAGTATCCTCAACCAGAAAGTGGAGGAAATAATACTAACCATATTTTAAATTTCTGTCAAGATCAAATGAATTAACGGACAGAGTCTCTCACATATCACAGGGTCTCTCACATATGTTGGCTGAATCTAAGAGCACAGATGAAGGGACAGCCCCGCCATGACAAAACCGCAGAGCAGGTGTCTGCAAGACCCATGGGACTGGGTTGCTTCACTGTGGCCGGAAACACGGGCTTGGGGCTGTCAACTGTGAGCAGGGCACTGAAGCAGAGCTACTGTTTATAAACACTCAGGAGGAAAAAAAAATCTCCAATTTCCTTTTGTTCGTTGTTTTAGGTATGATAATTGTATTATGCCACTCCATCCCCTTTAAAAAAAGGATTGGTTTTTTTTTTGGTTTTTTTTTAAGATACAGGAAGATTTACATACATAATGATATAACTGTAATCTGCTTTACAATACTCCGACAAGGGAGACAATGGTAGGGATACAGATGCTATAGTTGTTGAAACTGGAAGAAGAGCACATAGGTGTTCATTATACCATTCTATTTTTTTTTTTTCTATGATGAATGCTTAAAATCCCATTTCTATTAGAAAATTAGGCAAAGAATATGAAAATGATTCATAAAACAGAAAATAAATACAAATGGCACTTCACATTTGAGAAGCTTAATGTCATTCAATTTGCAAGAAATGTAAAATAAAACTACACCAAGCTATCCATTTTCCATCCAGACTGGCAAAGGTCATAACATAGATAACACACTACATCAGAGTGTGGAAAGAAAGGCATACAATTTCTGTGAAAAGTAATTGGAAATATTTATCACAATGAGAAATGCACTTTGACCTCAGTGCACACAAGCCAAATAAAGTATGTGGGTGTACACATGTGCATGTGTGATTATTCACTTTAACAATGTAATAGCAAACACTGGAACATTCTAAATATCCATCAATATAGGCTGGTTCTATAAAATATGGTATGTCCACACAATGGAATTTGAGGCAGCTACCAAAAAAGAATGAGGTTCAAAAAAGTTCTGAAGATGGATGGTGATAATTGCACAATAATATGAATGTACTTAATGCCACTGGACTGCACACTTAAAAATGGATAAAATGGTAAATTTTATGTATATATTTTATCATAATATGAAAAAGAAAATGAGGAAACTGTATTGATAGGGAAGATTTCCAAGATGCACTCTTAAGTAAAAAGTAAAAACATATGGCCCTAGCTGCTTTGGCTCAGTGAATAGAAAGTCAGCCTGCAGACTGAAGGGTCCCGGGTTTGATTCCTGGGTTGCAGGCTCCATCCCCAGTAGGGGGCGTGCAGGAGGCAGCTGATCAATGATTGTCTCTTATTATTGACTAGAGGCCCAGGGCATGACATTTGTGCACTGGGCCAGGGGGAGGGAGGGGTTCCCCCAGCCTGGCCTGCACCCTCTCGCAGTCCAGCACCCCTCAGGGGATGTCTGCCTGCCGGCTTAGGGGAATCGGGCCTAAGCCAGCAGGCAGACATCCCTCTCACAGTCCAGGGCTGTCATAGTCCAGGGCCCTTGCAGTCCAGGACCCCTCGCTCCTTACTGGCCCTGCAGTAGAGACTCCCACCACCACTGCTGCACTTGCCAGCCCTGAGCCCGGCTCCTAGCTGAGCTGCACTCCCCCTGTGGTAGCACACTGACCACTAGGGGGAAGCTCCTGCATTGAGCATCTCCCCCCTGGTGGTCAGTGCGTGTCATAACAACAAGTCAATGGACTGTTCCGTCTATTTGCATATTAACCTTTTATTATATAGGATGTTTCTATCTCCCCCTCCTAAAATTAATTAATTTTTTAAATATATATATATATATATATATATATATATATATATATAATAAAAAAGTAAAACCATGCGCACATAAACATTTGAATTAAAAAAGGGAAATATGTACATATTAGCTTTTATATCCATAAAATCACTGAAAGACATCATACTGGCATTGTCTGTAATAGTAACAATGGTTGTGTGTTGGAAGGGAACTGGAAGACTGGCAGCAAAGATCGGGGTGGAGACTTTTCACTCCAGGTCTTTTTACTTTGTGAGTTTTCGTCCCTGTGATTCCAGTGGGAGCCCACAGCCCAAGATGCTGTGGCATCCAGGCTACAAGATACCCAGGCCCTTCCCAACTGGAAATGCTGCTTACCGGCCAGCAGTAATGTGTGGGTGTTCTTATTATCCGGCACTTTGTCTGACCTCTCACAAGGGTGCATTCCCAGGAATTTCACAATATTTCCCACAGCCTCTGTAGGGGAGAAATGCTAGTTTTATTTTTTTATTTCAATTAGTTTCCATTCAATACTATTTTGTATTTGTTAAGCCAGATAACTTGTCTCCCCCTTGTGCCCCCACAGCTTCCCCATCCCCTACCCCTACTCTGAAGAGCTTTTAAGAAAGTGGCATCTGAAGTATGTGCTGTAGAGATGGCTCTGATCCCTGGGGGCATAGGAGCAGGGAGCAAATATGAGGAGTACTTCAACAGTAAGTAGCCAAGGATTTTACCTTCAAGTGTCTTGGTGGTAGACAAGGTGAATGTTTCCTCCTTCTCAAACTCATCCCCTACCTCATCCCAGGCTGCTTCAAAGTTCAGCTTCAAGACCTTTTGGATGTGATCAGCTATAGTGACTTCCAGATCTTCCAGCTGGGGA